GCAGTATATAGTGTGGATATGGACATAACTTTTATTTTTATTGCACAACACCGCGATGGTAAAGTGGAGGAATTAATTTTTCTTGGTGTAATTAACATACTGCATTACTTTTAGGGAAATGCATTCAGTGTAATGTGTGTAATAATTACTTTTTCTGAGTAGCGATCCGAACACTGATCACAACAAACATGCAACAACATTGTATCAATGTAATGTCTTTCGTATGCAGCTTAGCAATGGTGGTCATTGTCAAAGTGAATCAATGAGGAATCGAATCAGTAAGTGATATCAATAATAGAATCAGAATTACTAAATTCTTATCCATTCCCATTCCTTGTTCACAGTACTCAAATGGACTCCACAGTCACCAGATCTCAATCCAGTAGAGCACCTTAGATGGGAAATGTGCATCATGGATATTCGCTGACAAATCTACTGCAACTGTGTAATGCTATCATGTCAAAGTCTAAGGAATCTTTCCATCATCTTGCTGAAAATTAAGGCAGTTCTGAAGGCACAAAGCCCGTAAATATGTGTACAAATGGTTGGTTTTTTGTACTGTTTTTATCAATAAATCTCAGCAACAAAGGACATACACCCATGTGTGTTGATTTCTCCCTAAGATGGCAAACTGAAACACTCCAAGTTGGTGACTTTTGGAGATTTATTTCCCTGGATGATTGAGAATGCATCAAGATGAAACACAAAAGGAAGTGCACAGCTTTTAGCAGCTCCCCCACGCCCTCAATCACACACCCCCACTCCCCTCCCTCCAGAATTCCCAGGTAACGACCTAATATACATATGAATGACTAGCCAATTTAGCTTCCACTTGGCTGAAGCTAAAACTTAGCTAAAAGCCTACCAGCCATTTGGCTGCTCTCGGGTTTTATAGGTAGAAAGGTAGAAGCCTGGGGATGCTAGTTTAATCTTTAGATATCTGGTTGGTTTGTCAAGACAGAGGCTATTTGCACTGGAATCACTGATCCTACCACTGGGACCAGGGTAACACACAAAGCTGGATATCAGCTCTCCGAGTTAACCCAGGGTTTCCCCACGCGGTCACATGAAAGTGTCGGCATCATCAAACTAATAGACATCTACAAATCGAATTCACTGGTCATGTGTTCTTTTACAGTAAATGATCCTTATTACTGCCAACTATTCCAGAGATGTGAAAATCTACAGCATAAAGAACATAAAAATATACCAGTCAAACACAATACAGTTGTAAAACAGATGAACGCTTCCGTTTTTTGCAGATCAAAGTGGAATGAATGTGATTGGTTGAACAATCGCATGCTGTGTGTTCTGTGTTATTTGCATTTCCATCAGTGTTAAAGATTCAGCAGCAGATTCAAATCAAGTATAATAACATTTATAGGCTAAATTTAATAAATGACCAAATACAGGCATGTTCCTGTGATAATGCGCCGCACTGTTTGGTGATTTATAATCAAAACGATCAAACCTGCTCTGACAATTTGCATTTTTATTCCCTCAGCTGCAGATTTGCTGCTGTTTAAAAGTTTGAGAGCAAATATTAGATATAAAAACAAACGTCAAATATGGGTTCAGTCTACGCCAGTGTTGCCAACTTAGCAACTTAGCTGCTGTCAGAGCGGGAAATGTTCACCCCTACCCTAAATCAATGTACTAAAATACATAATTCTAATGACACAGTCACTAACTACTTCGTCCACTCTGTGCCCCTCTCTGTGATATATAGCTAAACATCTAGCTAGCTAGCTCATGATCTCTCAGTCTAAACTGTACACTCAAAATACAGAAAAGAGTTGGAATCAAACCCTGAATTTAAGGGGTGGTTGAAGTGGTTTATTGGAGATGATTCACGTGCATACTGCCCGTATTGCAAGGCTAATTTCTACGTCAAACTGAGTGATGTGAAAAAACACATGACAACTCAAAAACATACTCAAAAGGAAAAGCGTTATAACAGTTCCACCCAAAACAAGTTGCCATTTATGATTTTAAAAAACTGACTCGGCAAAAAAGGCAGAGGCCACCGTAGCATTAGCTATCGCTGAACACTGTTCCACGCTGGCATGTGATCATATCGGAGAGGGATGTAGAGCTGCTTTCTCAGACTCCACTGCTGCTACCCATTTAAAAAAGCACGGGATAAAGCGCACAGAAATGATCAATGGTTATATCCCGTTTATCGTCTCCAAAGGAGAGCAGTCACTCTGAGAGAAACACAAGCTCCAGCAGCTCTGCACTCAGGGAACAAACTACATTTACTTATTTTGTGCAGCATATTGCGCCGACATTATGTTATATGGGACAGCAGCTGCCCACTTAAACTGTGACTACCACCAGGTAGCGTGTGCGTGCTTCCTGAATCAGCAGCAGGTGTTAAACAGCTGACAGGTGAACAGGATGTGTGCAGGTACACTGAAGGTCTGTCGAGCTGATCCATGGTATGGAAGAAAATGGAACACCGGGGCTGTGAGCTCGGTACACTCTGTAAGCTGACTGTTAGTGAAGCTAGCGACATCTCCGAAAACATTGGAGCACTTTTGCAAACATGTTCTACGTTGACAACCTGACCAGATACACAGCAAATCCAGCATGTCCAAATTAACACTGTGTGATTTTAACACTATTAAAGTGTCTATATGGGTCCACACCAGAGAGTGTTAATTTAACTCTTTTTGGAGAGTTGGTACCTTAACTCTGATTTAGTGTTAAACACCAAATCTGTCTGGAGTTGATAATTTAACACTTGGTGTTAAGAGTTTATATATTAACTCTCAAAGAGTATTTTAGTTTAACTACGTAAGAGTTATATTCTAATTCATTCTAAAAAGCGGGAATTTTACTGTTCTGAACTTCTAGAAATTTCTTTTGGAAATAAACATTTACTAAAAAGATGCAATGGTTTTTGAAAAACATTTATTCTGAGCTGTGCACCACAATTTCAAAACATTTTCTGAAAGATGTAACAGTATACATGTTCTCACTTTCATTAGAATTTTGTTTATCAAAAGGTCTGGTAAATGCAAATAACAGCATTCTCATCACTTATTTCTTCAATACAATATGCATGTCCTTCATTCATCCCTTTGTGGAACTTCAACGCACTTCAGCTCTCCCCCATATTCCATCTTCACAAGCATATCCTGTGCGGAGATTGAATAAAAATTTGTTGACACTAATTAATGGCACAAATAATCCAGTAAACAATTGCAGCACAGAAAAAAAAAAGGAATCCTCTTTGAGCCATTATTTGTGTAAAGTATTTTCCCAAAAGACAAAGACACAGGCAACAGGTAATACTGAACTAAATGTAAAACCTCAACCTTTTTAATTTTTACCTAAACCATGTGCACAAAACTCTGGAGGGATCTAAATGCTAACTTAGAATCCAGTCAGGACGTCTGCTACTGCTGTTTGCTCGTTTTTTTTTTCGTTTTTATGGGCGATCGTTTTCAGGCTTCAAGTAGCACCATTATACCAACATTTCACATTCTAGACATTGTTTTAGGTGTATTTGACCAAAGGTTTGACTGAAAATTCACATGCAAGCTTTTTTTCCAAGGCTGTGGTATTTGCCTGCAAACAATACCTTTCAGCTAGCTAAAACAGAATGTTATGCTATCACCGAGCAACATGGCTAATGCCTTTCACACAGCTTTGTCTCAACTCCAAAGAGCCACAGAAGTAAAAGCTCATAATAATAATTGAAACAATCTTTGAAAAAATGACTTACCAAGCATGGCAAACAACTCAAATATGTAGAGCAAAATGTTCTGAAATGGCTTCACTTCAGCTTCGATTGGAGCCGTGCTGGGGGCGGAGTCTGTGAATTTACTCTATTGGTGTCAAAGCCCCTGTAGGAGTTCAGAGTTAAGAGGTCAAGAGTTAATGTTTCCATTGTAACACCTCCAGATTTGACAGAGAAACACTCATTTTTAACACTCAATTTTAACTACTATCATTTTACACCTCAGAGTTACATTAAAAGAATGTGACTCTACTTAGAGTAAAATTAACTCTACTTTTTCAAGAAGACTATTAACACCAAAACATTTAACACTTTTGAATTTGCTGTGTATGTTAAGATTATGTCACTACATTCTCAGATAAAACATTATTAAAAGTGTAGTTGGTGTAAAAGTTTATTGCTGCTTGTGATTAGAAATGCATTCTGGGATACCCGGCTGCCCCAAGTCCATACTAGTTCATAGCAATCGATTATCTACACAGTAAAAACATGGAGTGTCAATATTTCAGAGTAAACCTATTTTAACCTAGATAGAGTATTTACAACTCTATGAGGAGTAAACCAGCTCTAACATCAGAGTTAAAAGTCAGTGTAAAGTTTGTTAGTCACGCAGTGAAGACTTCACTCCACACAGTGTTGATTATTACCAGTCCGCAGGCGTGTGTGGCCTCAGAGCTCTAATGCGCATGGAATTTTCTCCGAAGAGCTGCCACAGTCAGGTAAGTGAAGTTAACATTCTCATACTGGTAACATTGTTTAAAAGGTATTTTTAAACTAAGTAGCTCTTTATAGTTTCACTGATGTCGAGTGAGGACATGTTAGCAGCATTTACCCATAGGTTTAATGGCATTCCAGTAGCTACATGCTAGCAGTTGCTAAAAGTTAAGATGTTCGTTATCTTCTCACTGCGTTAATATGAACCTAAAACATTTTAACTATGTATTTCTTCTAAATGCTGTCTAAATAATATCATTGTCACATGTCAAATCGCACAGTTTGAACAACTAAATTACCGTTTATCAGTAAGCTAATAATCGCTAATTAGCTTACATAAGCGAACATACTTTCAGAAAAAGTGGGTAGCATTACCATAAAGTTAACTTTACTGGTTTATATTATTTTAAGCAAATGCCAAAGGCATACACTACTTTAGAGTTTTGCTCATTATTTAGTAAGGAATATGCATTTTGTGTAAATTAACTGATAGCAATGTTAATTACATGTTAAGTAATATTAAGTAATGTTCCTATTTTATAGAAAGGTTTAAGAGTATGGAAAAACCAAATCTCTGAGAGATGCAACCAGAAGACGGATGAGAAACATACTTGAGGCTGAGATGACAGAATGACATGGGTAAGAATCAAAAATGTAAGATATAAAGAAACATTTTAAACATTGTATTATTTTTAATTGTGATGTTTAATGCCAATTATTGAATTTATACATTAGGACATCTCCCCCTAAAAGCGTAAGAGTGATGTATGCGCAGGGCATTGTTGCTCTGTCTCCATATCTGGAAGACCCATATTCACAACATGGATATGTAAGTAAAGGGAACTTTTCAACATTAAATACATAATTGCCCTCAGAAATGTTGATAACATAGTCCTTCTTCATTTATTTAATTACATAGAAACATTACTACGATCCAGAGAGCAGTTCAGGATACATTGCATGGCGGTTGAAGACCATTCAACGAAAAGCTGTGGAGGAAAGAAGCGTCTCAGTTTGCAAATCTCCCAAAAGTAAGTTCACTTATCATTTAAATGATACTGATGTAATTTGTAGGCAGGATTCAATCAAACACCTCTCTATGTTCTGTATTTTTGCATTACAGATAGAACAAGATTTCCGACTCCTGTTTTGTGAGGTCACTGGGAGCAAATTCTTGGAGAGGTGGCTCACCAATCTCAAAGCAAAGGTTGTAAAGGAAAGTCATGGACTTGTCCCCACCTCAGAGCTCTTGGAGTTAATGTGCAATGCTGAGTCAGGTACTGAAGTTGAGAATGGTATGATTGTGACTGTTTTTATTTGCCATTGTTGGTTATATAGGTAATTCTGTCAATTCAATGTAGTTTTGGAATAATTCTTTGTTTATTCATCTGTAGGCTGGGACAGTGACTTGTCTACTATCTTGCTGCTGCTACATCTGCTACATCCTCTTCCCTCCCTGAAGGACCTGTACAGCACTCGCTGTCTCAAGAGGGCACGCAGCATCCTACGGGACTGCACACACCCAGGACACCGGGTGTTTAAGCTGCTGCCGTCTGGCAGGAGGTTCAGGCTGCTGAGGTCCCGAACAAATAGACTCAAGGACAGCTTTTACAACAGGGCAATAGCCCTGATCAATGTAAATAGCTGACCTGACTGGATACCTCCCTGGACTTTTTAGGGGGAGGTAACAATGTTTAAAACGATAACAATAATATTTATATTTATAACAAGGTGCAATAATAATTAATGTGCAATAATAACAGTGTGCAATACACATACACTTATTCTTCTTTTTTATACTAAGTTAATATACTGTGTTGTGTTGTTTGTTACGTTGTGATGTGTCATATCGTGTCGTGTTGTGTTATATGTAGTGCCGACGTAGGACAGTTTTTCCAATTTCATTGTACTACTGTACTATGTATGACTGTGCAATGACAATAAAGAGTTATCTTATCTTATCTTACCATCTGCACAAGGGCGAAAGAGACCAGGAAAGATGTCTGCATCTCAAGCTGTCAATAACCTCATCAAATTCCCAAAGGTATGTTGTTTAAAATATACTTTCCATCACCTCTATTTTCATGGACAGTGAGTTGAGCTAATCTACTGTCAGAGGATAGTCACTTAATACTGTTGTTTAATGTGTTGTTGTAGGCTGGAACCAGTGTACAGCAGCATCTAGACAACATCACCCGAAGCAGTCAGCCCTACCATCTTACCCAGGGATCCACAAGAAGCAGCATTCACACCTTCATTGTGATTGAGAAGCATGTACTTCCATGTAATGCGACAGGTTCTGTAGGAGCCCTTGATGAACTCTTTAGGGCCCATTATGTCTTTGGTACATCATACAGTTCATCCCTGACCAACTTTGTTACTTTTCTGCAACTACGACATTGGGGAAATGTCATATTGCTTTCTCCAGTGAGCATCATAGAACTGTGAATGTAAAGGTTTGTTACGTTAATTAAATGACACTGAATTGAGAAACATAATAAATGCTGTTACTTTAACCTGTATATTTGTTGTTATTTCCATAATGTAGGATAGATCACAGTTATTTAGTAATATAGCATCATAAGATGAATATGAAAAAAAATCACACTACAGAGAAATAAAAATGATATATTATTACACATCAGTGTTATTATTAAACTAAATTTGGAGTAAAATAGCTCTATAAAGTGTAATCAAATTACTTTGAACAGTGTGAATAACCCTCAGTGTTAAATATTTTTACACATTTTGTTGTTAATTTTGACACTAAATTGAGTACAATTAACACTGAAAAGTTAACACTGGCCATAGAGTAAATTTAACTCTAATTTTGAGTGGGACCAAATGTTATCTGAAGCAGAGTTAAAATCAACTCTATAAGTGTAAAATTGACACTTGGTTTTTTACTGTGTAGGATCAACTTGTCTTGACTTACTTTGCACAGTAACCAATCAGATGTTAGACAGGCTGCAGTGGCAGCATTAACCCCACCCCTTGAGTTTGATGAGTGAGGCTAACAAATAAAATTATTCAAGAACACAGCCGCAGGGTCAGAAGTGCCAAAATGAATCAAATAAATACACCATTAAATAATTAAATAAATGTGTCAATAATTAATAAACATATTTGAAATAAATTAATAATTTATTAAACATTTTAAATGAAATGAATGGGTATTCATTATTGAAATATGTATTTAATTAATTATTTTCCATTTTAATGAATTAATGAAACATTGATATAATTATTTAATGGCCTATTTAATTAATTCATTTTGGCACTCCTAGCCCTCCATTTTTGGGTTCACCTTTCAGCAAAAGAAACTAGAGATTGTGAGGCATACATGCCAACCCTCCCGATTTTTCCCGGAAGAATCACGAATTTCAGTGCCCCTCCCGAAAATCTCCCGGAGCCACCATTCTCCCGAATTTCCACCAGGACAACAAAATTGAAAAACCATATCTCAGATTGGCCGAACCAACTCCAGTTTCCAACAATGGCTACTACTACTGCAGTTACTTAGTTTTAATCAGTGTTGGGTAAGTTACTTTAAATTAGTAACTTAGTTATATTACTAGTTACTTCTATCAAAAGCAACTCAGTTACTTCAAGTTACTCGTTGCTTTCAAAGTAACTAGTTACTAGGGAAAGTAACTTTGGTTTTACTCAGAATTCTCTTGTTAATGTGTTGCTTCCATAACTTTGCCAGTCGTCTAGCTTGCTTACTTGCAACAAGTGCACTGTGCCACCTACCAATACAAAAAATAATAATAATGTGCATATTTCCACAAGAGAAATCCCACGCCTGGACTGTCGTTGACCGCGGCCATGATTCTAGCCTACGTCACAGCATCATGTGCGCTTTTTACATCCAACACAAAAACTGCAGTCGTGATGCTTTTGATTGTACTCGGAAATTCTGACTTCCGAGTAGGAAGATGTAGGCAACACCAGACTGCAGATGAGCTGCATACAGGGCTCGACTGGGACAAAAAATCGTCCCGGGCATTTTGACTAGAGACTGGCCCACCATTATAGGAAAAATCATAAAGCCTTTAAATTAAAACAAAGGCTGTTGTGACAGTGATGTACACTGTTTTGATGGTATATATGTATCAATCTATCAATCGTTTGTTGTAAGATTCAGATAATTATTTTTTAAAGGCGAGACATTTTAAATGACATAACAAAGAAAAGTATTTCTTTGTGCCCCCCTTTCCCTGTTAATGCCCTATCTGCCCCCCTGGCAACACTTTGCTAGACCCTCCCCTGCAACGTTACCAGCTGTCAGCTACGTAGAAAAAGGATCCTGGTCTTATTTGTCTCTCAGAAACAGTTCATAACTTCCCTTCAACTCATTCATGTTAACTAAAAGGTAAACCTGTTTCTCCATCACCTGCTCAGCTCTGATGATTCAGTAAGGACATCTCCTGGTTTCATTTTCATGTTTCCCTCTCACCAGATAACCAAACCATATCATGACCAGCAGCTTTTTTGCAGCTGTGGCTCCAGTAAACATCAGCTGATAGTAGAAATTAATATTAAATAAATTCTAACAACAGCTGATCAAGCTTAAACATGCTGCTGTTGTTTAGCGCGACATCAGCTGGTTTCTTTCTGGCGCAAAGTGGGCGATAAACAAACAAGAGAGAAAAGCTGATCACATCGGTGCGTTGGTGGTTCTTTGTGTCCGGGGATGGGCGTCCAGGTACACACCGGCTCACTCCTTGGTGGCTGCTTATCGAGCCCTGGAGCCTGGGGCTCGCTTGGGCCACTTTGGGGGTGGGGTGCCCTCGGCCTCTCGGCCTGGGGCTCGGTCACTCTGGCGCAGCTGGCTGCCGGCGGAGCTCCTGGGCACGTCATTGCAACCCCCCTGGCTTATGCTCCGCGGCTGCTGAGTGACCACTCATCTGGGACTCTCCTCAGCTCTTTCCGGGATAGTGGCGTGGCTGCCCCTCTGTTGGTCTTCCTTGGTCTCTTGTGTTCTGAGGGCCTCTGGATGTCTGGAGTTTTGATCTCCTCCACACCTGCTTCATGCCCTGGAGGACGGGGCTGTGGCCCCCCCACACCCTCTAACAGATCATTACATGCAGGAACCTTTTAAAAACAAGCGTGTTCATGCTCACAGGTGTACACACGGGTGCTCACAGACACAAACTACACCCTTTTTGGCTCCGACCTTAAAGCACACTGTGCGCTGTCAATCTTACGTGCTGCACAATAATGTTTAACATTTAGTATTTACTGTTATATTCGCATAGATCATCATGATGTTGTTTATTCTATTGCTCTAGTCTTCTTCTGCTTGATTTCTTTTTTCTTTCTCAACAGGTGATCCAGGAAAAGAAAAAGAGAAGAAAAAAAAAGGGTGATGAAGCAGATTTTCATTGTCTTTTCTCTCTATCTCTTTTCTCCTTTTTTCTTTCCCTCTCCTTCTGTTAACGTTCTTCTGAACTGTTCTTCTTGTTTTTCTTTCCCGTCACCGAGTCCAGTCTGGCCTGATTACAGTAACTTAGAATAAAAATAACTAAGAAAAAGACAAAACAAAACATGATTTATAAGTCACTTAAATAACTTAAACATCTTATTTTGAAGGCTAGACTGTCCCATTTCACAGTGGCTCACTTCCGGTCTACCTGGCTTTCAGAGGACCCCGCCCACTTAGACCTCAAAGGCCGGGTCCGCCTGAAAATAATAACGGTGACATTTAACTTATTTTATCCAATAAATAAACACTGTAAAATTCAAGTTTTTTGTATATATATGAATATGTATATCCCTCCCCCCCTTTTGAATGTCTCCGTAATTCTGAGGTCTCAAGGTTGGCAAGTATGCTGTGAGGTGATGTATCAACAAGGAGCATAAGGCTACCTAGCCACGTTAGCTACCTACAGATAGGGTTTGACTTATTTTCCTCTTCCTTAACTTTTAAATTAAAAATAAAACACAAACCAACATATCAGCTGTAAAAAAAA